TATATATATATATATGAGACAAAACAAGAAGGTAAGGTTTTTGCATTAAAAAAAACAAAAGAAAAAACACCTGAGGGCAAAGCAAGTGACACAAATAATAGATTTTAAAGCACAAGTCCTGGCATCTATAGTGTAAAAGTAGCATTTTGGCTAATATGAAGATGACCTCAGTTAAAGTTAATGTGAAAAATAAAAAGAATTCCATTATAAATCTCCCTGCACTCTTTATAGTGGAGCAGCTGCCTGGAGGCATTTTAAACAAGTCACCAGGCATCAAACAGACTGTGTGGTGTCTCGTTCCCCACCGCTTCTCAATTCAATTAGAGCCTTTCATGACAATCAATTAGGGAGTACCCCCTAGATCTCCCTGGGGACCTATAATCATCACTCGTCGCCTGGACGCTTCAGTATAAAGTAACAGGGCCACTGGGAACTGCGAGGAGACAGTCTGCGGTTTATTTCAGGGTATTTTACTTCATATTATCCTGTGTTTGTTTTTTTCCCCTTTCTCACTGGCTGTGTGTGTTAAATGTAGATTTTCCCCCTGTAAGTTTTACCCGCCTGCGCCATTTTCCAGCATATTACGGGTTTACTAGGAAGGCTTTACTGCCTGTCTTTTTATACTTCTTGTCTTTTTTTGTTTGTTTTAATAGTTCTTCCAGCTTTCACTCATAGCCAAAAGGTTAAATCACAGCTTCCTGAAACGCTGTTCTTAAAACAGAAACCATGAAGTACTTAATGATGGCAAAATTCTCCGCTGCGGGTCTTACCTTGCTTCATAATGGAGTAATTAGATGACTAATGAAGTCTTGAGTTTTCCACCCAAAACCATATGCTCTTGCTGTAGCTAAATATAATTTTTTACTCTGCTATATCCTCTGCTCTCTTATACTTCTCCTCTGTGATGCACTCAGAGATAAATATTGTACCTATATTTTTCACTATAACACACATATACACACACACACACTTATATTTCACATGATCACAGGTTTTTAAGTCAAACAAACACACACACATCCCATAAATGTCTGTCTGTTCAGGATTAGTTAGATGTTTTTCTCTACAGCAGAGATGTCTTTCTGAGGGCATTTTAATCTGGATTTTTTCTCTCATATTTTCATTACTTTGATGGGGAAATTGCTCCAGAACTGCTCGAGTATGTAACTATGTAGATGATTATTCAAAGACACTGGTATTGGTAACAATATATTATAAAAATCCCATCATTGTAGATATATTTTGGTCGTCTCCACCTCCTAATTCTCACCTATGATTCTCAGCAATGATGGAGTGAAATAGATTGTTTATTACATCATCAATCATTATTAGATGCCCTTATTGAACATACAGTAAAATGCATTAAACTGGGAGCTGTCCAGTGCTGAAATGAGCCAGTAGTCAGATTGCTTACCACAACTACTACATTTCTTTTTATTGGTCCTTTTAAAGTTTGCTAAACCAGACTCATGTTTGCTAACAAAATAAAGATTGTTACTGTCCCGCGATGGCCTAGTCTATGTTTCAAAACACCGGCAATTTACTTGCACACAGTTTTAAACCTGTTGTGGTCTTCTTCCGAGGGAAATGTCACAATTTTGAGCCACTGAACAACAACGCAAAATGTTTGCAAGTGGCTGTTTAAAGGCCTTAAATGAAGCAACAAGTGTTCTTTGAGAAAAACAAAACACTGGTCGAAAGAAGGCAAAGAAAAGCTTCAGGCTATCTACTTTTAACCAATTATAAATGCAGGAGCAAAAGTGAGGTCTCTTCAAGCCAATTACCTCAAACACCAAGGTGCTTTTCCTGGAGGGTTAAAGCACTTTAGTGCAGAAAGAAAAACGCAGGTGAGAGAAGAGGAAGGAATGGAAGAGAGCAGGAAAACGCTAACATGATTACAACTGTAGCTCAGGCTCAGGTAATCACTGGAGTTAAAAGGTCTCCTGCCAGCCCAGAAGCCAATGAAACACTCTCTCTTCCTTTCACCTCTGCAGAGGGGAACTCTGTCATTTGCAGATTGCAGGTGAGATCTGGTTCAAATCTCGCCTCACTTCCACCAAACCGGGTGCCAAACACACTGGTGAATTAGCGCCATTCATCAGCAGCAGTTCCATAATTATCTGGTGTAGTATGACATGGGGAGAACTCTGTGTGCATGTGTGTGTGTTTACATCTTATTACTCTGCATTTTTAACATATTCAGGCTGGATTTTTATTTTTTTGTATTTAAGAGTCAGACCTTTAAAAATGAAAAAAACTATTTACTGTCTAAGCAGGAGCCTTCAGTGCTGACTGTGTTCCACCCATGTTGGACAAGGCTTAGCTCTAATTTTTGCTTCATCCTAACTACCAGCTTTCCTTTTATTGAATAAAATAACTGAGTCTCATGTCTGCAAACAACAGACCCTACAAACATAATAAAAACTATTTTGGTAAACTTGTATGACAGCTATCCCTTTATAGACAAGACATGCTGTCACATACATCTCTCATTAAACACAGTGGTTTACAGAATACCAACAGAGTCACTCATGCTGCTGATGGACAGGTGTATCCACGCAAGAAGCTGCAAAACTTTACAGGTAAAGGATCAAAATGAAGGTTACTTTGAAGATGGGCGTGGTTGTGACTGAAGAGTACTGCATGCTAGTAATGATTATCTTACATTACTTGGCAAGTGTCACCATATGTCTGAATGTGTCGTGTATTCAGCTCTAGTTTCGTCCACTGAGGGGTTATGATTTGGGTAGCATTTGACTGTGTGCATGTCATTCTGTCTGTAAACATCTTGTGTTATATCGTTAAAGAAAGTATGATCAAGAGAAAGAGAGTGAGCTACCTAATTAGAAATATGCTGTAGCATAATATAATATAATAAGTTATTCATGCCCAGTTATGTACAAATCAAACATAATGTCACATATCCTTCCAAGTAAGTGGAGTTGTGCTAGAAACCCTAACTGTTACAATGCACGGTGATGCAGTTACAGGAACTACAACAGTACAGAGGATGGCCAAACACAACCTTATTGGGGGGGAAAAGGGAACCATTATCTACCTGAAATTAACAAAATGCACATATTTTATCAGTGTTGTGAACACTTTAAAGTAATATAAAACATGTGATTTATAGACTAACACACCAGAACACAATGCTCTTTTTTCCCCTAAAAAGGCCTAAATAAGTCACCTCCCCAAACTGGACTGTGAATAGAAGGAGTGTGCGTACATATGTGTGTAAGTGATTGTGCAGCCTCTACAGGCAGTTCATGCACTCATTATAACATGGTGACCCACAGTAGCCAAGGTAAGACACAGGGCAGAGAGCCATTAGTCGCACTACTTAGGCTGTCTGTCAGAGCAGTGTGTGTGTGTGTGTGTGTGTGTGTGTGTGTGTGTGTGTGTGTGTGTGTGTGTGTGTGTGTGTGTGTGTGTGTGCACTAAAGAGAGGGAAAAGAGGCAGAGCACCAAGACTCACTGCATCCAAACTGCATTAGTTCTTCAGTTCTGTTAAATGCTGCCACTCTGCACATGCTATGAATGATTTGATTTTTTCTTCAGCACGTGTACAGCTGAAACATCCTAAAGACTTTGACTTTTTAGTGGACTTTAGATCAGTAGTGACATTAGGGATGTCACAATCTCAAAAATCTAGTCATCAGTACCAGCAGAATGACACGATTTTTGAAAATTGATTGTCCCATGTACTCAAACGTAATCCTAATTCCTTATGAAATTCCTTATGAAAAAGTGTTTTTATATCACTGCTGACAGCAGACCATTTATTTAAAATGTTAACGTTCTATTTTAGTGATGGGACACAGATTGTTAGAAGATTACCCACTGGAAGCATTTAACCAGAGGAACAAAGGTCTCCCAAATATAATGGCTACGTGCATTTCAGAAGGATAACACTTTGGATGTTGTTGAATATTGAATTATGACTCATTGACTGTCTTTGAACAGCTCAGGTCTTTCAGGTGCTTTCAGT